ACGCGAGTTACTATATCATAACTACCGTAGTTAAATAAAAAAAAAAAAAGAATATGGAAAGACTTTCAAGCCCCTGCCCTGGAAATATCAGTTCAGTGGCTCCATCGTGGAGCTAGAGCACCTGTTTAGTTTTATAAATCTCTCAGATGGTCCTGTTATTAATCCAGTATTAGAAGCACTGCATTCAGAACAGCCTACAAAGAAGGAACTGCTACTGTCAACTCCAGTTTAAAATGGAGGAAACTGAGGCTTAGAGAGACTAAATAAGTCGCCCAGGTGTCACACAAGTATTGAGCGGCTGAGCCATGGCTCAAAGACAACAGTCTGACTCAGAGCTGACGCTCTTAACACCAAACTGCACTGCTTCTCTCATTTTCCTTTATTGGAGCCCTTCTTGCTCTGTCTTCTTTTTTCTCAAAGTATCATATGTTTCTGCAGACTTTCTCTAAAACCTCCACGGTTCTGTCTCTGCATTGCAGGATCAGGGGCTGCGTATCTGTCACTCTCACTGCCCTTGCACCGCCCCCAGTTGCCTCCGGCCTTGGCAGAGAGCGCCTTGCCACAGCCCCGGATGTCCTATATAGGCCTGGCCTGCCCCCTAAGCCTCTCATTGGGAGTGTGCCTGGCAGCCAGTGCCATCACAGAGCTTGACTCTGCGATTGGCTGTTTCTACCAGCACTGAGGTCTGGTTGGCCTGATTCTTCCCCACCCCTCACCTGGGCCAGGCTCTGCTGTGGAGGAGTCAGGGCTGCCTCAGACCTGGTCCCAGCACTTAGAGTGCTCTCAGGCGGAACAGAGGGGTCTGTGCACAGACAACCATTGGGAGACTATGCACAGTGCCGAAAGAGGCCCTGTAGCAGGGGAGTGGAACTTGTCCAGGAGTGCATGTTTGGTGCTGGAGCACAGAGTCTGCAGAAGACAGCTGATTAGGGGAAAAAAAATAGGTTGTAAGTCTGGAGGTCAGGAAGCCTAGGTTCATTCTGACAAGAATCTTAATCATCCTCTGGAGCCTCTCTGAGCCTCATTCAAGGTAGACAAAGCCTCTCTGACCTCTGACTTTTGACTCACAGGCCGAGGCAGATGTGGCCTCCCTGAACCGCCGCATTCAGCTGGTAGAGGAGGAGCTGGACCGGGCGCAGGAGCGCCTGGCTACAGCCCTGCAAAAGCTGGAGGAGGCCGAGAAGGCAGCTGATGAAAGCGAGAGGTGGGCAGGGAGGTCCTCAGGAGGGTGGGCCAGGGAGGGGGCTGGGAGCCTGTCTCTGCTGGTACCCTAACCCCACCCCCATGCCCCTCCCTGCCTCTCAGAGGAATGAAGGTCATTGAAAACCGAGCCATGAAGGATGAGGAAAAGATGGAGCTACAGGAGATGCAGCTGAAGGAGGCCAAACACATCGCTGAGGATTCAGACCGCAAATACGAGGAGGTGACAGCCTTGCCCCACTTCCTTCTCACTCCCAAGCCCCAGACACCCCCAGTCATTCACCATGCATCTCTTCCTCCTCTCCCCTCTCCCCACAGGTGGCCAGGAAGCTGGTGATCCTGGAAGGAGAGCTGGAGCGCTCAGAAGAGAGAGCTGAGGTGGCTGAGAGGTAAGGACACCCTGGGGTGGCAAGTGAGACTCGGCCTGAGCCCACGGCTGTGGGCCACTCTGCACAGTGGGGAGGCAGTTTCCCAGGCTTGGGGCCACAGGGACAGGTTTTGTCCTCTGACCCCTACCCGCTGCCCCCAGCCGAGCCAGGCAGCTGGAGGAGGAACTTCGAACCATGGACCAGGCCCTCAAGTCCCTGATGGCCTCAGAGGAGGAGGTAGTCAGCTCTCTGGACCTTTCTGGGCAATGGCACCTTCTCTCAGCTCACCTTCCCCTCCATCTCAGGCTGCTCTCTCCTCTGCTGGGGGTCAGGAGGGCCTGGGTCTTCCAAACTCTATCTGCTGTCACTCTCACAACTTTGCTCTTCTCTTCTCTCCTCCGCCCCTCCCCCACTGTGCCATCTCCACTGTCTCCCCCACTGTGTCCTCACACCCACCCCCGCCACACACCCCCTGCAGTAAGTGTGGGGACCTAGAGGAGGAGCTGAAAATTGTTACCAACAACTTGAAATCCCTGGAAGCCCAAGCGGACAAGGTAGAGGAGGGTAGAGGGGCAGTAAGGACGGGGTCCTTCAGGGGAGGGAGGCGATGGGCCCAGGCAGGGTGGGGCTGGGTGTTTGATGGAGACAAAATTAGGAGTAGCCTGTGGAGAAATGAAGGACTTGTGGAGGCGATCTACTGATGGCATGTGTCTGTCCCTAAAGTATTCCACCAAAGAAGATAAATACGAAGAGGAGATCAAATTGCTGGAGGAGAAGCTAAAGGAGGTAAGAGTCCTTCTGGTCCGCAATCGCCACTCAAACCCCCCAGTCCCCACCAGAGACCTCCTGTGGCAGGGAGTTTGGGGACAGGGACAGAGAGGAGGTTGACTTAGATAGTGTCTGGGAGGGCCTAAGCTTTCATCATTTCCTCCATCTTGCCTTTACGCCCAGGCTGAGACCCGAGCAGAGTTTGCCGAAAGGTCGGTGGCAAAGTTGGAGAAAACCATCGATGACCTGGAAGGTAAAAGAGATATTCGCCTGTATCCTCAGACCTTTTAAAATAGATCCACACTCCCCATGATTGTCAGTCTGTCCCTGTCTTCCTGTCCCATTATATTTGCCACCAATGAATTAGAGCTGGACCACCTAGGACTCGACAGACTCCAGTGGTCTGTGCCTCCCACCCAAGTAGAGGCAGCCCCGTCAACTCCAGTGCTTCTCAAACTTGAGCCAACAGGAGAATCCCCTGGATTGTTTTTAAAACAGATTCCTGGATCCTACTCCAAAGTGACTGCTAACCTAGGGCTGGAGAATCTGTATGTCTAACAAGCTCCCTTGTACTGCTAACGCTGCTGGTCCTCAGACCAGCTCTGAATAACACAGATCTAGTGTCTCTAAGTGCAACACAACAGAGCTATTTCACAGAGACTTCTTTATTAAATAGAGAGCTATTTGGTTTAATAGCTAGGTTTTCATGACAGTAATGGAAAATAGTGTTTTAAGCTAGGTTTGGTGAAAACAACCATCCAGGTATTTGCTAGTCTGTAGCCACTTCTCACTGTTACTAACAACACTGTGCCTAAAACTGTCTTTCCTTTTTATTCTGTTATAACCCTTTCACTCTCCTAATTCCCACTTCTCTTTCCTCCAGCCTTCTCAGGCAAGCCTCAATTTTATCTCCAACTTTGGGACTTTAGATCTTTCTGACTAAAGTGGCCTCCTTTTGAAGCAGGCACTCCTGCTTATCCAGAGCACTGTGCCCTAGATCCCTGGTGGAGGCAGGAGCTCCTAGGGGAAGCACCAGTTTGGGGTGCAGAGAAGGACAAAAGAGACAGGGGTACAGAGAGGGGAAGAGGGAGCCCTGACAGCTGTCCAGCCTGTTCTCTGGTCTGTCTCTTTCCATCTTCGTCCACCTCTCTCTGATTCTTGTTCTCTCTTTCCATTACCCTCTCTCCTTCCATTCCTCTTTCCCTCCTATTCCCTCTCCCCACACTCCCACCCGGCACCCTCCCCTGAACCCCCAGACGAAGTCTATGCACAGAAGATGAAGTACAAGGCCATCAGCGAGGAGCTGGACAACGCGCTCAATGACATCACCTCTCTCTGAGCCTCTCACCAGTGTGGCCCCCTCGGCCCTTTCTCTCCTCTCCTTTCCATTCTCTCCATGGGGAGAGGGGCAAGCAGGAGGAGCAAAACTTGCCAACATTGCACAGCCAGACTGGGCGCAGTCTAGGAGAGCCCCCATCACATCTGCCGCCCACCCTGGCACCTGCTCCATCCTTCTATCCATCCACTCACCCCTCCACCCGCCGGCCTCTCCCACTCTCTGCTGCTTAATAAACTCAACTTGGTCTCCATGCTGTTTTCCTGCCCTCCGGAGATCACTTCCATCACCCCTACAGCACTGGTTCACTACTGAGACCCTTACCTCCTTTGGACACCCCTAATCTTGTGCCCCCTCCCCCACTGAGCTCACCCACAAAACACTGGCCCACACAGGAACCCTCGCTGCATGGGCACTCCCAGTCTGACTCTCACTGCTGCATGTGGGCACGTATGACAGCATTAGTCACCAAAGGCCCTCGGGTGCCTCCAAGACACACACCCTTCTGCAGACCCAGGCATGTCATTGCCCTCAGAGCGCTCAGCTGGGATTCCAGGATCTAAAGGAATGACTGGAGGGGAAGTGGGATGGTGAGGAGCACGGGAGGGGCACAAAGGTTGTGAAAGGTCTGGGATGAAGTTTGGAAAAACACTGGATGCCAGCAACCTGGGGCTTTCACTGCAGGTCCGTTTTCTGCCTCAAGTCTGTCTGTCTGTCTGTCTGTCTGGCCCTCTCTTTCCTCTTGTTTCCAACTCTTTTAAACCTTCTAAAGAAGGAGGGTAAATTTGTTTATGACTCAGGCCTTCCCATCCCACCTCCATGGCCCCAAAGCCTTGAGTGAGGCATCCCCATCTGTCTTGGTCAGTCCATCCATTTCCCCGGCCAGGGGGTCCTCAGATCCCTGAATGCTTGTGTCTTCCTGTGCCTCCATCCCACTCCATGTCTGTTGTTATGTGCCCTGTCCATGCCTCCCCATGTTTCTCCCCTCGTGTCTCCCCTCCCCCTCCTCATGTGTTGCTTCCCTCACAGAGACCTTGGCCAGTGCCAAGGAGGAGAACGTGGAGATTCACCAGACCCTCGACCAGACCCTGCTGGAGCTCAACAACCTCTGAGGGCTGGCCCTGCCCCCAGCCAGGCTGTAGATGCAGCCCTAACCAATAAAACTGATGTTACCAGCATCACGGGGCCCTTTAAGCCTTTCTTTGGTGTTGGTGATGGTGGGGGTAGTTTTCCAAAATGCAGAAGGCTGAGAGGATGTCTGAGGGGAACAGCGGCTTAGGAAGAGCCCCTGAGTGAGCAGGGCCTGGGTCCAAGCCCTGCAACAGGACTTCCTTTTCTACAGGAGCCAAGGGCTGGTGGCGCTGGGCTCAGGAGGGGTTGTGAACAGGCTGTGTGAAGGAGAGAAACCTGGCAGGGCTGGGGGAACATTTAGGCCCTCTCTCTGCAGAGCAGAGGAGCCGCAGCCAGCAGACAGCTGGGCCAGACAACAAAACCGCAAAGCTACACAGATTTACTTGAGCAGGGTGAAAGCCGAAAAGCCTCAATGTGATTGTAAGCCTAGAGGCTGATCCTGCCCACACACACACACCCACACACACACCACCACACACACACACCCCCATACCCATACCAACACTATCAACAATTTCTGTCCACCACACACACACCCCCATACCCATTCCAACACTATCAACAATTTCTGTCCACTTACTGATAATGTCTTCATTAGGCAGAATCATATCCCCTCCACCAAAGATATACCCTAATCCTGTGAAACGTTACTTTACATGAGAAAAAGGACCTTGTGATTAAGCTAAGGATTTTGAGATGGGGACATTATTCTAGGTTAACTGGGTTGGCCCAACATAAGTACAAGGGGTCCTTATAAGAGGGAGGCAAGGTCAAAGGCAGTTGTAGACAATGGAAGCAAGAGACTGGGGCGATGCAAGGAAGGGGCCACAAGCCAGGGAACGCTTGACTTCTAGAAGCTGAAAAAGGCAAGAAAACATTCTCCCCTCAAGAGTGTCCAGAAGGAAAGAGCTCTGCCAACACCTTGACTTTGGCCCATAAGATTCATTCTGGTCTTCTGAGCTCCAGAACTCTCAGTTCATAAATTTCCATTATCATTAAGCTTATGGTCATTTGTTACAGCAGCAATAGGAAATGAATACACCATCCTTTTGATTTGGGGAACAAGAGTGCCTCCCACATATTTTATTAGAAATGTTTATTTTAAAAGTATCTTTGGAAATTTAAAAAGGAAGTAGTGTAATAGGCAGGACAAAGTCTCCAGCTCCCCCTCAGATTCCTCTGGCTGGCTTCTCTGTACATTCTCCAAGTTGCGTGCCTCTAGGCAACAGTCTCAGTGACTTCTGCTGGGTGGTAGCTAACATTCCCTTTGGTCCCACTTGGGTGTCTACACAACAGGGAAACTTAATGAGAAATCTCACCAGGGATGAGCTCATTTGCATATATTTTGCATGAAGCTGTTCTGGACTCCATGTGGGGAGGTGGGGGTTGTGCCTGACCGAGAGGGTCTGTGTAATACCTTTGCTGCCTTCTCATTTGCACAAGGAAGGCAATGCCAGTAACAGCAAAAAGGAGGCCAAAAACCAGGGCCAGGATGTCACCTGGAGGGAGGAGGAAAGAGGCTGCCTCAGGGAGTGGAATCTGTAGGGTTCCTTCAGAGCCTGCTTCCGCCTATCCCCTACCCTGCCCCAAGTTCTCCAGCTGCCCCCAGTGTCTCAGAATCCAGCAGAGGCCAGCAAAGGGATGGGGGTGGATACACAAGAAAGGGCAAGTAAGATAAGCACATTTTTCCCTCCCTAAAAGTGAAGTAAAAAGTTGTTTGGGAAGGAGGATGCTAGGAGATTTCATTCTGATCAACTCTTGCCCTGGGGACCACAGGGGAACCCCCCACCTTGATCTCACACTATCCTACTGGGGTTGGAGGTCTGTTCTGCAGAAATGGAGAGGTAGCAGTGGTGGTCCTGACTAGCCCCTGGGGCTGAACGGTGCCAAGGGGTATCCCCAGCCTCAGGAGCCAGAGGAGGGACACAGACTCACCAGCAGCAAGACAGGAATTCAGGTGGACTGAAGAGAAAAAGGAGACATTAGAGCTGGGGGGCCATGACCACCAGTGACAGACAAATGAGGACACATGGGAAGATGAGGGACCTGTGGCTGGGGAGACACAGCAGTATGGGACAGCAGACAAAGCTGCACCTGGCTCAGAGGTCTTAGGGCTGCTGTCCACTCCGACAGGGAAAGAAGCCTCAATTATTCGCCCATTCAAAGGCTGTGTCGCTCGGAAGTTCAGCTGGAGCCGAGAGTCGTCAGGTCCCCACAGGGAGTCAGAGAGGGTGTGGAGCTATGGAGGTCAGCAGACAGTGGGGGTGGGCTCATGGCACAGAAGCAAAAGAGTCACAGGCTTACTCAGAGCCAGCACCTCAGGGCTCCACCATCCCCGCCCCCTCATCCCCCACATGGCCCATCGTCTCTTCATGCCTCCTCTTTGTCACCTCATGCTACACCCCTATCCCCTTCATCCCCTATGTCACCACCACACCCCAACCCCACCTGCTTAGCACTCAGCTTTACTGTCTGGTTGAACACAGTCCAGATGACCCCCTGGGCACAGGGGGGTGTGGTGAGAGACCCCTCATATCGGAAGTAGCGGCTGAGGTCAGAGGGCAGCAGTGCAGATACGTCCAGTCCTGGGACCCAGGTCTCTGAGTCTGTGGAGAGGACCAGTGCTGGAGCCTGACCTAGACTGCCCCCCCCCAGTACACCAGAGCTTTGGATACAGGGATACATTTTCATCTCCCAGAAGCCAAGCTGACTCAACTCCCTGAGACCACTTCTTCACTAAATGTATCCCTTCCCATAACTCTGCACAAGACGTAACTCATAAGAAAGTAAAGGGCTTTGGGGCTCACAGAGTGAGAGTACTGCTCCCTGGGCCCTCCCTCGGAGCCTTCACTCCTACTTTGCACACTGTGATAACACGTTGGAATGCAGATTTAAGCCCAGAGTGAATCAAAAGAGAAAATGGGTTGAATAACTTGTAAATAAATATTTATACCCATAAAAGACAGACCCAAAAACACAAAAAGCACAATTCCTCTAGTTTAGCAAAACCTAAGATCCAGTAGGGTAAGTGAGGTTTAAAATGACCTAGCGTGTCTGAGAAAGAAAAGAACAATAGTATTTACAAGTATAAGTATTTGATGCTTATGAAGGAGAAATACAGTTCTCAGAAAAAGTTTACCTCTCCAGACTTAACCCCTGAAGTTCCAAATACAATTTGTTTGGTCTTATTCTATTTTTGTCTTACTTTGGTTTCTGTTTGGTTTTTTAGACATAAAGCCCGTGGGCAGCAGTTTGCCTTTGCCTGTTTGCCTGTGTACAGCTTCATAGTTATTATCAAGGTCACAGTTAGCCAGTTCACACATCAACCCCCTCCCTGTGAGAAGGAGAACTTCTCCACCCTCAGACCTGAGGCTGCCCAAGAATGATTCTTTATGAACAAGGGTGTCAGGGGTAGTGGCCAGATCAACAAACTGACCTTCCTCAGCAATTTCTCCCAAATGTGACAGCAACTGTTCGTAGGCGCTGTTCTCTTCTGGACCTTCCTAAGAGATGACAGTGCAAGACAGGTGAATATACGTATCTAGGGTCATGACTGGAGGCCTGAAGGTGAGGTGGGTTCCTCTAGTCCCACATTCCTCAGCTCTGAGAACTATGGGGAACACAAAATCTTATCCTATTATTACTCAAGGTTGAATTACTCTTCCTCTGCAAACTGACCTAACTAGGTGGACTAGTTTTCAATGGCAAATTGGAGGAGGAGGAGGATGGTGGGCTACTTTACTAGGATACAAGGCTCTCAATGATGGGCTCTCCTCACTTTTCCAGTCTCACTCGTCACTACCTCCGGACACATTCCATGGTCCCACCACAGAAAACCACAATAACCTTTGTATTTATGATACCTCTGCATTCACCTTAATAATTCATTTGACTTTGGGAGCCAGCACATGCTATTTCTAAGCTGCTTCTCTGAACTTTGTGCTGTGAGGCCGGCATTAGGGAGTCAGGGAGGGAGTGAGCCTAACAGGTGTCTCATCATCCCCAGGTGTTTCACGATCCCGCCATCTTATTAGCCTCCTCTAACCATTGTGTAGGCAGCCTTGACCAATACGGGTCCAAAGAGGTCACTAAATGCATTTCTCTAGGTTCTACTGCATTTCACAAAGGGGAAATTACGGGTTATAGGAGTATTAGAGAAATGACTCTTCCTGATGTCCATTCTAGTGCATCTGCCATTCCCCGAATGAGCCACACTCTGAGTCTTTGCACAAACTGTTCGCCCTACATGAAATATCTCCTTTACTTCCCCACTAGTGAAGGCTTCAAGTTTCACCTCTGTGAGGCCTTCCCTGACCACTCTTTTAACTCTGTCCTGTGTATATGTCTGTCCTGTCAGCCTCCTTCATTGGCTGTGGGCTCCTTAAAGACAAGGACCCGCAGTTTCTGAATCTTTTGCACCTCAGTGCCTGGCTCACAGTGGGCGTTGAATGAAGGAACTAATGAGTGAAGATGATAGCCAGGTGAGGGGATGGGGTCTCTGAAGCAAGATACTCTGAGCTCAGCGGTGTGGGGAAGCAGGGGTAAGGAGGTGTCCAGGGCTGGTACCTGCAGAAAGGCAGCCAACACGGCCAAGCCCCCGGGGCGCCCCAAGGCCTCGTCAACATTGGCAAATGCAGTGCTGAGGTGAACCACGTGGATCTGGAGAGGACACGATAGAAATCGGCAAGATCCCCTGCCCCGCACCCTGCTTCGACCCTCCGCGAACAGCCGCGTGCTCACCTCGGCAAGGAAACGGTGACCGCCAACCGTGTGCTCCGAGCCCGGGCGACCCGCAGCCCCCCAGTGCAGATGCAACTGCAGGGCCCGATACTCCTGCCCGGGGCCCAGGGCCATCTCCAGCCCGGGAGGCAGACTCAGCTGCACTGCGTGAAGAGAGGCATGTGAGCCGGGCCCGCCCCTCCGGCCGAGGAGAGCCTGCCTAATTCCCGAGCACCGTTCCTCTTCCCCACGCCCAGTCTCATCCCCAAGTGGCCTCCGCCCCTTCCCTGGGGCTCCGCCCCGAGACCGCCTCACCCGTGTGGCCATTGTTGAGCAGGCGCAGTTCTGGGAGTGGCCGGAGCTCAAAGCCAAGGAGTTCTAGGGGTCGCAGGGCGGGGCAAAAGGTGGTGAGCTCCGGGCGGATGTCTACCGGGGATTGGAAGCGGCCTGCGCAGGCTGGGGACACCTGCGGCCATGGCGGGGCGCCTGGAGTGGGAGAGTATATACAGGAAGTCTGATGACAAGGTCAGGAACTTTTAGGGAAGCGGAGCAGGAAGAGTGCCCGGGAGGGGGGTGGAGTCAGGAGGCATCCGGGCGGGAAATAGAAATGGGGGATGTGGACAGAGACAGGCAGCGGGTGGTGTCGGCGACTGGCAGTCGCGGATGCCGGAGTTGGGGTAGGGGGCGAGGATCAGCAGAGCTGGGTGCCCAGATTGGGTCTGTGCAGGCGGTGGGTGTCTCACCTCCATAGCGCCAATGACTGTGGTCATCCCCTGCATAAATGAGAAGGATGAAGAGGCTAATCTTTGAGCCCAGTCCTTCCCCAGCGGCCAGAAGGAAGGTGGATCCCTGCACTAGCAGGGGTTCACAAACTCGGATGTCTTACAGAAGCCTAGCAGTAACAGAAATGCCTGAAGCAGGCCAGGTGTAAAGCACAATAGATCCCAGCCAAATATAACACCACAGCTCGGTGGGGCATACAAAGATCTTACTGGCCCGGAAGATACCAGTTTGCAACTACTGTCTTAGAAACTGTAAAGTGGGTGGGAGCCTCAGTCCCCAGGCCCAGATCAGCAGACCATCTTTCTCCCTTACTGGTTCCTCCTCCCCACTCATCCCTGTTCCCCTTCTGGTCTCCAACTCTTTTCCCAAAGTTTCTGGCTTGGGAGTCAGATACCAGGTTCCCCTACCTGCTGTTTCCTTCTTCCGAGGTCTCAGTTTCCTCATCTGTAGACTGAAGATGAGGCGATCTCTACAAGCCCTTCCTGCTCCTTCTCTGGTACCCCCCAGCTTTCCTCTTCTCTCCTCTCATACTCTTATTTCTCTCCATCTTTGTTTTCTCTCCCTATGCCTCATCTCTTTCTCCTCTCCAACCTCCCCCTTTCTTCTTTCCCATCTCTTCCTACTTAGCTCTCTCCATCTATGCCCCTTTTTTGTCTCCCCACTTAGCTCTGAAAGCGGGGAAGGGTTTAGTGGCATGGGAGCCCCTGGGGCTGGGAAAGACTCCTCTCGGAGTTCTGGCTCCTCTCCTTCCCTGAATATTCCCTGCCTGGGCTGGTTTAGTGAGGGGAAGCACCAACCTCCTGGAGCCTAGATTTGCAGACCTGATGACCACTTACCTTTTTTGTCTCTGTGGGCATTATTCTGGGCACCCTGAGTATCCCTGGGAGCCTCAGCAGTAGGTAGATCCTCTAACTTCAGAGAATCCTCTTCTCCTGGTTCAGTCTTCATTCCAGATGGGTCCTCCTCTCCAGGTGGGTCCTCTTCACTGGGCAGGTCCTCCTCACCCAGTGGATCATCTTCCCCAGACGAATCTCCTCCCGTGGTGGGAGCCCCCTGCGTGCTCCAAGGATGGGCTGGCAGCAGGAGAAGCAGTAACAGCAGCAGCTGTACAGCTGGGCCTGGGGCGGGGGCCGGGATCAGCACAGGGAGCCAGGGGCTGGGGCACAGGGGAGCCATGTGGCTGACTGTGGGGTGTCCTGGACACGGTATGAGTGTACGGGCTGTACGTGCATTGGAAACAGGAGCTGGGTTGGGGAGGAGCAAGCCTGGAGGGGAGCAGGCTGACTCACAGAAGGCCCTTTTGTAGAGATGGAGCCAAAGTCCTATGGGTCTGTCTGGCCCTGTGCCCCCTCCCTGATAGCAAGGCAGGGATGGGGTGGAGTGAGGGGCAGGTATGTGCGCAGCCAGAAGGTTATCAGGGTTATGGGCTCAGCCTGGAACCCAAGGCACCACCTGGCACTATACAGGTTCTCCCTGGCACCACCCGGCCGCTCGCCAGCCAACCTCAGCTAACCCTGGCCTGCTTCCCAGCCCTGGCAGCAGAGGCCCCCAGTCCTTTAGCTGAGAGGGGAAGCAGCCCATATATAATTC